TACTAATTGATTATAACTTTATGCTCTAATAAACCTTGTTCAGCACACAAAAATACATTATGCCGGCATATTTAATTGGCAAAAATAAAACAGAGACCCGTTGCTATGCGACTCTTATATGATCGACCAATCATCTTAGAGATTGGCGATCTTATAAATAATTGTTTTTGTTTTTTTTTAAACATATATTTTTTTTAACACAAATATATTTTTTTTAGAGCTGTCACTGGAGTTGTCGCAGCCATCGTTGGAGCTGTAGTTGAAGCCTCAGAACTGTCTTGAAGTCGCGTGGATTTCTCATTACTTTGGTGATTTGGTAGGTTTTTTTCCATTTTCTTTTGTATTTTTTTCATAGTTTTTGTTGTCATTTTTTTCTCATATTTTTTGTGGGCTCTTCGTCGTTGGAGCCTCAGAACTATCTGTCTTGAAGTCATGTGGATTTCTCGTTACTTTGGTGATTTGAATAGGTTTTTTTCTATTTCCTTTTGTATTTTCTTCGTAGTTTTCGTCTCTTCATCATTGGAGCCTCAAAACTGTCTTGAAGTCGCATAGATTTCTCGTTACCTTGGTGATTCAGTAGGTTTTTTTCTATTAAGTTCTTTCGTATTTTCTTCATAGTTTTTGTCGTCGTCTTTTCTCAATTTTTTGTGGACTCTTCGTTGTTTTCAGTGGTTCATTCAGGGCTCTTTGTCGTTTTTTTGTGGGTTCTTCTGGTAAATTCGTCATTTCTTGGTGTTAATCTTCGTCGGTTTTCGCTAGATTTATCATCAGTTTTCTTCGGTAAATTCGTCGTTTTTCGGTGGGTAGGTTCACCATTTTTAGTGGGTTTTCTTTGTTGTTTTTCAGTAGGTTCTTCTATAAATTCTTTGTTGTTTCTTCCAGTAGGTTTTTTTTTTATTCGTGTTCTAACATGTCTTTGCTCAATACGTAGATCTTCATATTTTTCTTTGGTTTCACCATCTTTATCACTTTATTCTTTGCCATCTTTGTCACTTATTCTTTAGTGCCGTTTTTGTCTTCGTTTTTGTCTGTTTTCTTGCTATTCTCATTCTGTTTTCTTGTTTTTCTTGTCCTGTTTTATTGTGCCTATTCCGTTAGTTCTAAAAAAAAACAATAAATTAAATAAATTAATGAAAAAAAATGATTAAATTAAATTAAAAAAAAACCTCAATAAATTAAATAAATTAAAAAAACTCCCAATAAGTTAAATTAAATAAAAAAAGAAATGATAAATTAAATAAAAAATTAACAAAAAAAATAATTTAGAGCTTGGAACCAGTTTATTTTTATATATTAAACCTGGTTTTAATGCTCTTTTTTTAATAAATTTTTACAAGTGTATATGATCGACCAATCAAATTCGATCACATGCATTACATGCTTGTGTCGAGCACGTGATGCACGTGATCGAATTTGATTGGTCGATAATGGGGTCGCCATAAAATAACGCCCTATTTAATTTTATATTTCCCAAAAATTTAAGATAAGATGCTTAATTTTGGATATTTTGATCAAAATATTCAAAATTAAGCATCCTATCTTAAATTTTCATGAAATATAAAATTAAATATACTGGCATAATGTATTTTTGTGTGCTGAACAAGGTTTATTAGAGAATAAAGTTATAATCAATTAATAAAATTTTGAGAATCTTAATATTTTGTATAATTTTATTAATAAAAATATTAAAAATGCTGTAATTCTCAAAATTTTACTAATTAATTTTAACTTTATACTCTAAGTAAACTTGTTCAGTACATAAAAATACACTATAATAGTATATTTAATGAAAAGATGCATAATCGATCAAAAAATCCAAAATTAAGTATCTTCTCTTGAATTTTGAAAAATTATAGTGGTTTAAAAAATGAAATAGCTTATTTTTGAGTATAATTTTTCCAAAATGCAGATAATTTGCTAAAAATAAAATATAAAATATATAAAATTGATATAATTTTGACAAAATAACCTTTTATTAAAATTACTATCAATTTGCTAAAACAAAAATCAGACTTTAGGCCAAATTTTTGACTTTTTGCTAAAGTGATAGTATAACCTATATGAGAGATGCCCGGGGTCCTATCTTTGCCCAGTTTTTCAGACCTTCTCTATTTAGTAGATTAATTTTTGTTTTTGTTTCTAGTTTGGCCCAGTTCTTTATGCATGCTAAAGTGGCTAGAATCTCATTCTCTTTGCTATTTTGTAGTGGTCTCTTCTTAATCTTGTAAAAACCTCTATCACATACTTTCACAGCCAACCTTAGTGCTCTTACTTCTTCGTCTTCTCTGCTGCTTTGTGATACTTCAGGTGTCTTTTCTTTCTCGGAAGACTTTCGTTCGCTGCTAATATGATGTATTTCTCTATTATGTCCCATTCATTATCTATACTAATTGGCCTGCATTTGCGCCACTGATTTTTGAGTCTTTTTTTCAAATTCTCTTTGTAGTTGCACCAATTCTCTCCTGAGGCCTTTTCGATTTCTATACTGACTCTTTTGCATTTTTTTTATCTTCTTTTGGCTGTGTTTGTTTTTCTTAGTTCTAGCTCTATGATAATTTTTGTATATAGTAATTTATAGTCGCTCATTGTGCATGTATCCATATCCTCTACCTTCGGGCTGACTATATTATACTTCCAACTATTTGATATCCACATGTAGTCAATTCTTGACTCACTATTTCTGTTTGATCATGTAGGTATTTGTATAGCTTCGTATACATCAAAGAGACTTTTCTTGTTAAGCAGGGCCAAAATTTTCCTCTTTGTTTGATGTTTTGCATTTGACTCAGAGAAGCTTGTAAATGTCAAATTTGCTGTGTTAGCATTTAAATCTCCCATGATTAGGAGACGTTTCGGTTTTCTGCTTGGTCTTTTTAATGTATCTTTTAAGAAATTAAGGATCTCTTCTTGCCTTGCTGTATTGTTTGAAGCAACGTAAAGAAAGATTATCTCTATTGTGAGACATTTGAAATCTAGAACCAGCTTTATATAGTAAGGATTGTCTTGGGTCAGGTGAGTGATGTGGTGCTCCCAATGTTTGTTAATTAAAACCCCAACATCTGATCCTTTTTTCTTGTTTTTTTCTGAGCTTGCCCAAAAGCTTTTATATTTGTCTATATTCTTGGTTGCTCATTTGCTTTCAATGTCTTCTATATTAGTTTCATATAACCCTAAAATGTCTATCTTCTTCTCTTCTGCATATTCTATTAATGCTTTTAATTTATTTTTGTTATCCTTAATGCCATTTATATTATGAAACACTATATTTAAGAGCCCAAACTGATCATATCACTTTCCATAACTCTCTGGTTCTTTAAAACTTTCTGGACTCTGTGGGAGTTGGCTGTCTGGTGTGTCTTCTGTTAACTCTCTTTTTTTTCCTTTGTACACCCCGGTTTTAGTTATTGGTGCGCCTATGGCACTTTTTAGAAGCAATCCGCAGGGGGGCCTTGCGGTTTCTTCATATGACCATGCATTTTAAGCTTCTAGCTTATCTAGCCTATTTAAGATTTGTGTCAGAGCGCTGAATATTGAGTCTTCTTTCTCTTTTCCTTTCACCTTCTTGCTTTGATACTTCTTTCCTTCTTGCTGGTGTAGTGGCTGGATATTTTCTTTATTTTGGTCTTTTTTAATTAATGGTGCCCTTTCGATATTTAGGTCTGCATTACTACTTTCTTTACTTTATATAGCTCTTCTCTTGTTACTAATCTTTTACTGCCATCAAAGCTATTTCTATTTTCCTTTTTTCAGGTTTTTCTGCCTCAAGATATTCATTTTCTTCTAATTGGGCTGGCCTGCTCCATCTTCTATTTTGAGATTGCTCCATCTCTTTGTAAAGCCAGTTCTTGGTATAGCTTCTTTTATCCTGCTCTACTGTTGATAATTGCCACTCTAATCTTTTATTATAATAGTATATACTTGATCTCTGGGCTTGTATTATATCCTCTTCTTGCTCGAAATAGACATAAGTTCTCATGCTTTGATTACCATTGCTATTGTTTATTGTATGGGCTGCTTGTACTTTATATCTTCTTAATTGTTGCAGTAGTAAGCTATTAAATGCTATTTTTGGCATATTGTTAATTGTGCATCTAAACTTGTCTCTTTCATCAAGCATGGATTTGTTGAATTTCCCCGAGGTGATTTTGTACATTTTCTCTTGCTCTAATTGTACTAACCAGTATCTATTTAGTGAGTAGCTGCCTTTTTCTGTTATCAGTACTACTCTTATATATACAGCTCTTTTTTCTCTCCAGGTCTGTTACCATTCGAGGATAGATGTTGTCCTGTAATGATCAAGATACAGCTTAATGTCCTTTCTACTTATATTTCATGGGAGGTTCCAAATTGTGAGTAGAATAGGAGGCTCATTTGTGTATTGCTGTGTGACCACTTCTCTTTTGAAGCCTAGCTTGAGTTAAGTATATTTTTCTGACTTTTTGCTTTTTAGCTTGTCTTCTATCTGCTTGTCTTTTTCCGTACTCTGGGCTTTTTAAAATTAGCTCCTTGAGGCCGTAGTCTGTTGTGCCTATCTTGTTTTCAAGTAGTATCTCTTTTACCTCTTTAGAATTATTTTCTCTATTATTACTATTATTATCTTGTTCTTCAAGATTTTTTTTACGTGGGTTTTCTTGCTTTACTGCAAATGTACTGCCAATATTATTGCTATCTGCAATTGCTGAAGTGTTTCCTTCATTTAAATTTATATAGCAAAAATCCATTATAACTGGGCCGTCTTTACCCCAGACATATGTGTTTAGACATATCTCAATATCTGTATCATGTTCCAGAAGTTTTTCTCTTCCTCGGTTAGATTCTGCTTTTGGATCTCTTTGCTTTTTGCCCATTTAAACCTCTCAATTACACTATGTATAACTGCTATTAGCTGAATATCACTTGTACCCAGATACTCTGCAATGTGTATATCTTTGTTTCGCACTGTTGTATATTGTTTGTCATACAGTAGTCTTCTTTCTTTTTCTGTCTGTTTAAAAAAACCTCTAAAATCCTCTAAATTTGGCATTTTAAATTACTATTTGTGAAGTTATGTGGCTTTGCTTTGTCACATGATATATATGTAAATTACATGTTTTTATGTGTATTTAAGAGTCTGTTGCTTTTGTGTAGCCTAGTAATTTGTGTTTTACAAGTGATCTGCAGTACAGAGTCAATGGCAATTTCCTAATTCTGAGCTGCAATAAGTAAGTTTTGGTTAGAGCAAGTGTTGTTTTCCTTATTTCGCTCTAATATTTTGCCAATTTTCCATATTTTGTAATTTAAAATGGCTTGTCTTAGTGTTCTGTTTGCGGTTTCTACAAGTTTTGCTAGAGTATTATCTTTTTTCTAGCTTCTGTTGTTTAGGCACATCTACCGATAATAAAGTCATATTGCTCGGTTTTAGAGTTCTTCTTGCTATTTTAATTAACCAAATAAACTAAAACAGGCTGTTGCTTATGCTTTATTCATACTTTCTTTCGTTGTTGGAGGAAAATATTGCTGTTTTTAATGTGTTTTGTGTTTTGTCTGTCTGTAAATTTTTGTGCCAAGTGATCGTTGGGGAGAGTTGACTGATTATATATATTCTTATTGTTTCTTATTGTTTCTTATTGTTTCTTATTGTTTCTTATTGTTTCTTAATGCTTCTTTATATTTCTTATTATTTCTTATTGTTTCTTATTTTTATTTTTATTTTTTTAAATTGTTAATAAGTCTGGCTGTAACTTATCTTATTTATTAATATTTATAATAACATAAATATATAGAAATATAAAGATAAAAGTTCGGCTCCACTTGGTTCTATATTGTGGTACAAAAACCTAGCTCAGATCTAAGTGCGACTCTGTCTTACCAGATTATAGATAACTGGAATTATCCAAAAAAAAATTCTATAAAAAACAAAAATGACTATGACTAAAAAGAGTAAATGAACAAAAGAGAGAAAAGAGAAAAAGCAAAGTAAATAAAAAATAAAAAAAACCTAAAAAAGAAAAAACAGGAAAAAATAAAAAAAATTTTATAGAACAAGAATAAAAAGTTAAGAGGGATTGCACCTCTTTTTGTAACAAGAATACACTATTATAACCTATGCAAGGCTGAAAAAAATTATAACAAATGCAATGATTGTATATCTCTGATGTAAAGCTTTGCCTTAACATTAAAGTTCTTCCAACTTATGACCTCTTTCAGATATCTCTTTAACTGAAGGCCCCAATTCAACTTTTCTGGAGTAGTACCATATTTGGGGAACCATTAAAGCCAGGTACTATTACAAAATTTAATTATTAACGTTAAGGTTAGAGTTAGATTAAGGTCTGTATGAGCTAAGATCAAAAGATTCTTATAGGTAAAATCATTCCCCTGATATTTTTTCTTAATAAATCAAGATAGATTTAGATATTCACTTCTTGTATTTTTTGCAATTTTTACTTTCTTTTCTTCATCAAGCTTCATCAGGCTAATCTGTGTAAACAAAAAATTCACAACTTTGATTAGCCACATGCAATGAAAAATCTCGTGAGGTACCTGGCTTTAATAGATTTCCATATTTGTAAACAAACATGTCACGTGATTGTATTCTACTAAGTCCGTCCAAATTTGAAAAGTAAACAATGCTAATCTTTTGGAGAAATAAGCCAAATCCCTACTTTTTGTACAAAATTTTGGAAGACCGATAGGAGAGCAAAAAAAAAGAAAGAGAAGAGTCACCAAACTTAAAAGAAAGAGTGCGGCTTTAAAAAAGCAAAAGTTTTGTTGTTTCTCTTGTGTTCTTCTTTGAAGTAACAATTTAGAAACTTTGTTAACAAAGTTGAGCTTTTTGCCCACACTTCACCAAGATTTTATATACAAGGGTGCCTCTTGCTAGTTATCTAGTATAGTAATGTTTTTGGCTTGCATGCCAAATATCTTTTTAGAGGAGTTCCAAAAAGCAAATAATATTAACTTCTAGACAAACCACAACATAGGCCATGACTCTCCAACAAAAAATTTGTTTTTCTATTAGTGGGAAAATTTGGTTTTAGTAATCGTTAAAAAGAGTTTCATAAAACATGTGTGTTATTGTTTCTTATTGTTTCTTAATGTTTCTTAATGTTTCTTAATGTTTCTTAATGTTTCTTAATATTTCTTAATGTTTCTTATTATTTCTTATTGTTTCTTATAGTTTCTTATTGTTTTATATTCTTTTGATATATGGGAATCCCCACAGCAAAAAGATGCATTGGGCCAAAAATTTTGATTCTGTAATTTTATAAAAATTATATGCTAATTACTTTAATTCTTCGAGAAATTGCATTTTTTTAAAAAAACATTTTTTTGGCCCAATGCCACTTTTTGCTGTAGGGGTCCCCATATGTTGTAAAAGCTCTATAAATTCTAACTTTTACCCTTTCTTTGACTTTGGGATTTGTTCCCTGCAATGCTCTAAAATATTAGGATTCTATAGAAATAGATACCTATAGATAGCTTGGTGTTTAGATATTGTATCATAAATAAATAAATATATCTTTGCCCTAAAATAAACCATGTCTTTATACTTTGAATAAATATACTGAACTGCCCTAGTGAGGAAACATTTCACTTCCACACTGCTTCATATCTTGCTTTGTTGTTTTAAAGATTCCCCTGTCACTATGTGCTATGTTGCAGATAGTAAATTAAGAAGGCTATCCCACTTGTAATATTTTGGTGCCTTCTGGCGGAAATATAAAAAGTCTTCCCAGGAAATACTAAAAGTCTTCACTGAAAATCTAAAAAGTCTCCTCTGGAATTATAGAAAATCGCCCAAAAAGCTTGAAAATATTGAACTCATTAACTTGAATATCCTCTTCTATTGCTAAAAATTATTTTATTTATTTGTGAATACCTATTTCTTAAGTAGTAATAGTGCACTTAGAAGTTCTGTCAAGTTGAAAGAGACTTGTACAGAAGGGCATACTTGAAGTCTTTGCTTTTGTAGCAACCGGAAAGTCCTGTCAAGTTGAAAGAGACTTGTACAGAAAGGCTACTTGAAGCCTCTACTTTTGTAGCAACTAGAGCTCGCAGCTTACTGCAACCCTGAGGTTAGATCTCTTGGACAAGTATCTCATGAGCCAAATATGTAGACATAAGAACTCATAGCTCGCAGCTTATTGCAAACCTTAACCAAGAGTATTAAGCACAAATTACTCACAAGCCAAAGTGTAGACATAAATAATTCCAACCTCTCAAAAAAAAAATACAAGCTTGAAAAAAACCCAGGAAACTCGGAAAATTTTATGTCTCGGAAGTCTATACAATACTATCGAAGCTAGAAAGATTCTATCACGTACTTTTCGAATACTAGAGCTAGAAAGTTCTACTATGTACTTTCTAGTAAGAAATATCTATAATTTTCTTAACTGTAAAAAAAAAAAAAAAAAAAATCATTCAAAATTGTTAAAAAACTCAAATTCAGTACTTGCTCAAATCTTTAAAATGAAGTGCCATATCATGTGACCAAGAACTTTTAACAATTTTTAGTTCTTAGCAAATATATTGATATAACTCTTTTATTTATTTCAATTACACTTATAATAATTTAATTTGACGTACATATATAAGACTCTCAATCCAATCCAATTCTTACTACTAACGTTCTAATTCCTTTTATTCTAAAACCAATTTGCTTTGTCTATTCTTACTATTAAACCTGAAGAAACTAAGAGTTATATAATCTGACAATAATTGGAAAATGTCCCAAATATTTTTAGAACTATAACTTTAATTATCTGGGTTTTTAATTTTAGTTTAAAACACATTTTACATTTAGGAGAGCGCTATTTATCACCTGATTTTTAGGGTAGAGGAAGCAAGTCCAGAATGTGTAACAGGTTAGTGCCAGATTACCAATCAGATTTCAAGATTAGATGTAATGTTATATGATCAAAACAAGTGTTCATTTTGCCAAAAATCAGTTATTTCTCAAAAATATGCATAAGAAACAATCTTTTATGCTTTAATAAAAAGTTTTCCTTGAATGATTTTACTATATAATCTTGCTAAATCTAATCTTAATATAAATGTTAATATAAACATCAATGAACTTTAAAGAATTTTACACATTTCAGATATATGATCGACAATATGCATAACCTGTTATACATTCTGGTCTTGCGTAGGGGGGAGGGTCAGAAAAATATCAGGTTCTAATATAATAATAGCTTTTAATTAGTTAAAATTATTAAAAGTATAAAAATTTTAACATTTAATACTAGATAACTTTTGATCCAACAGTCATTTTACCACCAAAATGTCCGTCTCACTGAGACGATTCTAACAAACCCAAAATCATCAAAATCCAATCACAGGATCCCAAGATCAGAATAGATTTGTATTATTATATATATATTTATATATATAGTACTATATATAATACTATATATAGGGGTTAGGGTTCTGTAGCCTAGTGGTCTAGACCCTTCACAGACGAGGTCAATAGTTCAATTATAGCTGGTGGTAATTAATTTAATTAATTATTTCTATAACCTTCGGAGCTTTTAAATGCAAAACCCTGTAGTGGTAAGACCATGTAAAATATATATTTGGCTGATAACATGGAGAAGATCAGGCACTGTGTGTGACATGGATCACAGAAGATAATACTGCAGAAGGCTGTGTATATGAATCCACGATTGGCAAGGTAGCACCAACAACTCTAAGATGGCATTGGGATCTTGATTGGGAGGATGGCTGTATTCAGTATATCCAAAAGTGGTGAGAGAAGCAGTGAAAATAGTAAGGGGCTGTGGTAAGAGAATGGCTTTACCAAATATGAAACACCTCTGGTACAAGGAAACAAGAAAAACTAGCTAAAAAAAACCCTAATAAGCATGGAAGCAAGCACTCTAGTAGTACGAAAATAAAGTCGGCCAGTGAGTAATATATCGTACAACCTATATAGGAGTTGTGGAAGTATGACGAAACATGGCAGAAGCGCAGGTCTCAGGTTACTGGCTTGTGACAGTAATTAAATAAGGTACTCAACTCCTGTCTTAAGAATCTAGACTTCTGTAATACCATACCGATAGGAAGTACTATAAAAGGAGCAGTAGCCTAATTTGGTAATATATAACGTGAATACCTGAAACCATGTGAACAGCTCTCCTAATGGCAGCAGCAGGTAGCTTGAGATATAGATCTTCGGACGGCGGCAGCACCTGGCTTGAGATATAGATTAGGAACTGAAGTAACATCTCGAGGGACACCAAACTGGAAGCAAGAAGAGCATCTACTTCTAGAACACCAATTTGGAAGTTATACAAGAAACAAATTAGGAGTAATGTGATAAGTGGTAAGAGGTAGATTATAACTAGTAGATGTTGTACAGTAGTATATATAGCGGGGTATATATAAATTAGTAAAAAAAACATTAAGGTTCTGAGTTAAATCAGGACTTAGGGTGCTTCTTGATAAAAGTACCTGAGGATGTTTGTCTCACATGTGGGATGATGCAGACGGTTGCATTTGGGCGCTATATAAGGTAGCTGGGTGAGGTCATTACAACTACTTAGATAGGTTAAAAATATATATAATATATGTAATGTTTGGTTAAAATAAGTAATAAAGTTAATGACAAAATCATCGAAGTTTAAAAAAAAAAAAAAAAAAAATACTATATATAAATCAAAAATGAACAATACTCTCCCCAACGATCACTTGGACCAATTTTTTCGCTAAAGAAAAGCAGGTTTGTTGGAGCATTGTCTGTACTAAGGTACAGTAGGATAATATAGAATACGGTTTTTGTAGAGGTCAACTATTTCTGCTATTGTGGGGACTCCTCTATATATTCAACAAACAAGCTGAAAGCGTCATTATACAAGATAACTGGCAAGAGGTAGTGCCCTTATATATGAAATTTTGGTGGAGTGAGAAACCTCTGTTGACAAAGTTATCTATAGCAAAACAGTAGGGAACAACAAAACAAGCTTTTTCAACACTCTTGTTTGGAAATTTTGAAAAACTTGCAACTGAAAACTTCTTTTCTATATTTTCGCTTAGTTTGGATTTTTTTAGAGAATTTTTCTAAACAAAAAGTGGGAAAATCGGCATTGTTTACCGATTCCAAATTGGGAACAGGAGTCACAAGGAATCATGGATTCGGTGGCTCAGGAACTCTAATTACGGCAGCAGGTAGCTTGAGATATGGGTCCTTGGATGGCGGTAGCACCTGGCTCGAGATATGAATTAGGACAGGATCAAACTGTGTCATATGGAACAAGAACTAACGTTGACTGTTTGGAGATTTTTTATAATAATTCTTGCAGGGCTAACTCTACCCGAAGATATTTACATATAATATAGACTAAATCTAAAGTAGAGCTAAATTTAAGAGTATTATATAATTTTTTAATCGTGATATGGCTATATCATTTTGTTAGAGTTTTTTTCTTCTCTTTTGTTTTTTCTTTTTCGAAATATGGTTTTCTTTTTTACTTTTTGGTGTTTTTTGGGTTTTTTGTTAGTCGCTTTCATTTTGTTTACTTTTTAAAACTTCCCCCTTTTATCTCATGCCCTTTGAGAAGAAGGAAGAATTAGAAAGAAAAAAAAAATTCTGACATAGTATACAACAACTTGTCATAACTCTTGGGGGGTAATCTCGTCGTTACGAAATTCGAAGCAAGTTTTGAATCCTGGGAGTGACTAATAGTTGTTATAGCTAGTCGCATTGGGCTTAGGCTTGGTGAGCTTTTATTAGATAAGAACATACAGTCTCATTGATATATCACAGCGTCATATAGCAGTTCACTAAATTTAAATAAAAACAGGATTGCTTAAAAAAAAATAATAATAATAATACTATATATAAATATATATATAAAGTAATACAAATTTATTCTGATCTCAGAATCCTGTGATTGGATTTTGATAATTTTGGGCTTATTAGAATCGTCCCAGTGAGATGGACATTTTGGTGGTAAAATCATCCAAAACGGACTGTTGAATTAAAAGTTATCTAGTATTAAATGTCAAATTTTGAAAATTTTTTAGCTAATCAAAATGCAGTATTTATAATTAGGTGGGGGTAGGGGGTAGCCACTTAGTAGCAAAAAATCAGACGATAGATAGCGCTCCCCTTAATTCATTCTATCTAACCCTAACCCAATTTATTTTATCTATTTTTTAATTAAACCTATTTTATCTATCTCTACTTTTAAAACCCGATTTATTTTTTCTATTCTTAATCTAAAATCTGATTCATATTCTTCAAATCTAAAATTCCTCTATCCTTAACTAAATCTGTTCTATTTCTCCCTAATATTGACCCAATCTATTAAATTTACAAACCCTAATTTCTAACTATAAACCCAAACTCATTTCCCTAACATTAAACTATTCCTAATTTAATACATTCTATTTCTTCTAACTTTAACTCGTCTTGATAATTCTAACTATAAACTATCCTATTTTCCCTATCCCCAATTCAATCTGTTCTATCTATTTTAATCTAATCCATTCAACTCATTTCAAACTCAAACCCCAATTCATTTCTTTATTCTTACTATTAAACCCAATTTATTTTATTTAAACGTAACCTTATCTATAATTACTAACTACTCTTTACCCCCAATTTTATCTAACTCCAAACCTAATTCTATCTCTAACTATAAACTACCTAATTATCTAACCCATTGTTCATTTGGGCATATATAGAAGCAATAGTCGAACTTTAGAAGTTCTTAAATTCTTTGATCGCAAGAACGATACTTATCAAATTGTTCTTCCTAGAGAACACTTGTTACCAATCACTATCTATCCTTTTCTTTGGATTTGGCTTCATATAGCAACTAACTAATATCTTACTTACATCCTACTAGACAACTAGGAGCACTATATCGATTATCCAGAAGAAAGCAGTTACCAAGAATAAAACTCACAAAAAAAAAAAGTTATTTTGGTTTCGATAAAAATTTGAATTCTAGATTTTTACTCCAAATAACTAAGACTTCAAAGAAAAAGAATCTTAGTTAGTACAATACTCCAGGAACACAAAAAAAAAAAAATTTTGGAAACAGCAAATTACGGCTATATACACATTTCAAGATTCCAATCAAGACAATATTAAAAGGATCCACAAATCATATATCTGACTTTAATACAAAAAAGAGAGAACAACAAACATATAACAATATATGAAAGAATACATCGCTTTACAAAGCTCTTACACTCTATGTCCAGTTCCAAATAACTATTTTGCCGAACTTGAGTTGATGCACTTTCTTGTGTTTCCAACCAGATCTGAATACTGCCTTGTCTAATTTGCCTGATTAAAGCCTCTAGGATTGGATAAAGTAAAATGCCTGAAAACGGATAAGTTAAAAAAAAAAAAAGAAAGAGTCTTGTACCTTAAAGATTTATCTACGCTTGGTTATATCAAGGTTCTAAAATCTTAAAAACTCGTTTTAGAAAATTGGAAGAGTTTCCAATTGCCTCCAAATTGTAATTCTTCTGATTCTTATTTGTATTGCCCTAATAGCTAAGTATAAGGGAAAGAAATTAACAAAAATTTCTAGTTTTATATCAATTTAATAAAAGTGCCACCAACTCTAGCTCTTGTTCCAATATTACTAAACACATTTATTGTAGCATCAACACTAAGACAAATAACACACTTACCATAAAAAAATAAAATTAGATAGCTTATCCAGAAGAAGCTAAAGCTACTATGAAAACGCCAAAACCATGATAATGCCATCAGTGCCAAACATGATGAAAACGATATTTAAAAGTGACCCCTATAACATCAATACTTACCATGACTAAATCAAGATTATAAAAAAAAAAACGACAGTATCCGCTTCCACAGCTAACAGCTAATACTCAAGAAAAAGATCTTGAAAAAGAAAATCTGGTAAAGATACTGAAAACCACAATGAAATAGACGAAACCAAAGTATAGAAAAAAGTTCTTAAATAGAGCTATAAAATAGCTTATCTGGAATCTGGAAACCACAACAAAACAATGATACCCACAACAATGATTCCAAGTACAACAATGAAATCAAGCAACGATGGTTTTAGAAATAATATTTTGGAAAGAAAAGAAATTTAAAAATAAAAGACAAAGACTAAAATAAGAAAAATGAAAATATACTGTACTTCTCAAAATGTTGCACAAGTATCCAAGCTACTACAGGTCTACTAATATGTCAAAGCATTAGAAATGGTCTAAAGAAATAGCAAAAGCAGAAGACTATAAATCTCGCCAAACTCACACAAACATCAAAACCACAACTGATTTATACTGATACTTTGAAACCCAAGCATTAAAAAGACCCAGGAATAATTTAGAAAGAAAATTGAAGATTTAATATAGAAAACCAAAACCTAAAATGCTTACCCAAGATCTACTTGTTAATGCGTTTGAAGGAAAGCAATTCAAGACAGATTTGCTTCAACGATCCATTGAGAGATCCGAATGCTTGAGGTAAAACAAGACTAAATATCTACAGTGGCCTACTATATTATTATGAACACTTTTTAAAATCTTATATTGAGCTAAATAAATAAAACATAAATCTAAAAATTAGTTATTACTTATATCTCAAATTTTTAAATAAAAAAAGTTTGCAAAATTCTATACAATAGTTTTTAAGTTAATTAAGGTTACACAATTTTGTATAATGTTACACTTGTACGAAATTAGTAATTTTAAAAAATTAGTTATCATAATTACTGTATATTAAAAAAATTTTTTTTATTAAGTAAACTATATATTATTATTATGTAAAATTTGTTTAATATAATAAATTACATATAATTTTAAATTTTTAAAAACTTTTAAAAAATTTTAAGATAAATATTATTATTTAAAGTTAATGTTAAATTATTAAAATAAAATTAACAAATTACCAAATATAGTAATTTTATTACTATATATAGTAATTTACAAAATAAATTTTTAAAAATTATAAAATTTTTAAAATATGTACAATTTATCATGCTACATAACTTTTTTTAAAAAAAATTGTTAGTATACTTTAAAAAATTAAGTTTTATATATACTAAAAATTAACATTTAAATTTATATTAAACCTATATTAAAAACTAGTAAATCGTACAAATGAAAAAATTCAAAAAAAATTAAATTTAACTATTTCAAAAAGTACTGCATAGAATTTTATAATTTTTTTTTTTATTTAAAAGCTTTAGATTCAAATAATCTTTTGTGTAATTTTTAGCTTTGTATCTTATTTATTTAGCTCAGTATAAAATTTCAAAAAGTGTCTATAATAATATAGTAGGCTACTGTAAAAGTATATAACCCGAAATGCAGAAACCTGGAAGAAAAACATAAAAGATCTAAGAGTATAAAGAAGAAAAAAAGAATAATAAGAAAAAGTAAAGAAACCGATGATCGATTAACATATTTATAGGCATCGATTATATGATGAATGCCGAAATAACCAAAACTGATTCAGAAGCCTAAGAAACTCCAATCTAAAACAAAGAAAAAACCATTATCTAAATAATAATTAGACCAGAAGACCTAATGAAAAAAAAGAAGAATTTGAAAAGACTTTAATTTGACCTATTTAATTTATATTCTAAAAAAAAAAAAAGCAAATACTTGAAAAATTTTATTTAACATATTTATTAGATATTCCAAAATTATTTACAGGAAAAATATAAATTTTTAGAGAAAATTCTAAAAAAAGATAAAAAACTTGAAATAATACAAAGAAAAAAGAAAAAGCAAAGTTTTTATTTTTATTTACAAAAGAAAAATTTTAAAAAAATAGAAAGAAACAATAAAAAGAGAAACTACTCTATATACAAAGATGCCCCAGCCTCTTCCTCTCTCATTTTCTTCTTCCTTCATTTTTCTTCTTTTATCACCTCTTCTTTCATCCTCAAGACCGAAGAAAATTTCATAAAACAGCATTCCGCTAATCAAACCAAGTTTGATATCTGTCATGTTCTTCAATAAGAGCTTTACGCTCTTGCTTTTGAAGAACAAACTGTCGTAAATGATCAAGAGCCATATGGTTAAGCTCTTCAATAGTTGCCACTTGATTATTTACTTGCTGCTGCAACCATCTACAAATATAATATTACTGTTATAAGTGAACTATAGCCTTCTTTAAAATATAGTACTTGCAATACAGCACACGGCGACAGGAATCTATGTAGAGTCAGAATAGATATGAAGCAGTATGGAAGTAGAATATTACTTCACTAGGGTGATTCGATATAGTTTATACAAAAGTAAGATATATGTTTATTAAGATATATTTATTTACAGTACAATATCAAGATATAAGGCTATTCTAAGGTATCTATGCTTAAAGAATCCTAATAACTTAAAGATTGTAGAGAACAAATCCTAGAGTGCAAGAGAGGGTAAAAGCTAGGATTTATATAGCTTTTACAACTAATATAAATAATATAATAACAATAATACAAAAGTAGAAAAAGGTATAAAAAGTATAAAAAGTACTAAACGTACAAAAGGTACAAAAGGTATAAAAGGTATAAAAGGTATAAAAGGTATGAAAGGTACAAAAGTATGAAAGGTATGAAAGATACAAAAGGTATGAAAAGTATGAAAGATATGAAAGGTACAAAAGGTATGAAAGGTACATTTCGTCTATCATTTAATTGCAGGCTATCCGATAGTCCGTTTAACATGTATTGTAGCTCATTACAATCGTCATGATCTTCCGGATCTTTTGGGAACATAATCTTTAATATGTTCCTAGGCGTTTACATGTTCTATAAATTTCCGTCACCTTTAAGAATGAACTCTGTGAGTTAATAATTCTTCAAAACTTTTATTGTCTAATCGATTAAGGCTACTCATAGAGAGGTCTTGAGTATGATAGAGTTGTGACAAATTCCAATATTGAAAGACTTGATATGTGCATTCAGCACATCTCCAAATATTACCAGTTTAGCGAGATCCTAATAGGGCTCTAATTTTCTCTTTGATTTCTTTAAGAACATTATAATCATTAGCAAAATCACTTCGCAGTTTTCCCAAATAATAACAAATTTCTAAAGTTCTAATCTGTTTCTCTTTTTGACTTCCTTTTGGAGGTCGGCTCAGTCGAGAAGTAATTTCAGTAATTTGGTTTTCCCAAGTAGAATCTGGTATTGGTTTGGCTCTAATAGGAGGGTCTATATTCTGGTTCGTTAAATTTTTTATGATCTTTTCAACAGGGGTTTCTTGGATTGATACTTTGGGTTCATTGTAAGTGAGGTCATCTAAATCTGGTTCTGGGAGGTATTCATCTAGTGGATCATTTGTAGTTGGTACTTGACTTCCTTCAAGTATAAATGATGCGACAAGAGTAGTTTTAGTCATTATAGCAATTTGATTTCTGGTGAGAACAAGAGTATTGTTTTGAGTATAGGAATCTTGATTCCAATGAGTAATTAATTCGGCAAGAGTGGCTAAAGTTTGAGGTTGTAAATTTTCCATTTCTAGTTAATTTCTGTTTCTGTAAATTTGTAAAAAAAAAAATTTTTTTTAACAAAGTAAAATTTAACTTCTATATATATTTTAAAATACTATTAGCGACTATAAAGGTTACTATTCTGTAATCAGTGATAGAATGAAAATAAATAAGAGTACTACTAAAATAAAATAAATACTATTTTGAATTGGATTTACGTAGTATAAATTAATAAAGTAATAATATAAATAGCGATCAACAAATATGTCTCTTAATTTATTGGCAAATGTATTAATTAAGAGATCAACATCAGTTCATACGTCTAATTTCTTATAGATTATAAAAAATCATAAACTATACCCTTATGCTTGTACTTTTATAATTCAAGGTATTTTGCTATATTATGATAAGTTGATTAGACCTCTGTTTCTTTTCTCACAAATTATTTCATTTTTTACATTATAGCACTTATAGTTTTAAAAGAATCTTTATTTAAAGTAATCTAATTTTTTTGAACCGATTTATTTTTCTGGGGTATAATTGAAGTTAATCAGTTAAAATCTCAATTTAATTAAACCCCAGGAAATACAAATTTGTTGATCATTAAAAAATTTGTCCCTTAATTTGCGAGCAAGTGTCTCAAATAGAGGATCTACTCCTATTTTTATATTCAATTTCAATAGAAAATCATCGTAAAAGCAAACTTTACACCTATGGCAGCTCTCTTTTGACATAAAATATACCACATACCTTATTAAGTATAACGGAACTCTGTATTTTCTTCTTGCAAACTAATTTGTTTTATACGCTGTGGCACTTCTAGTTTTAAAAGAATCTTGAGTCAAAGTTACTGAATTTTTGAAATATATATTAGCAATACCTTGAGAAAATAACTTTTTTTTTAAAAAAAACTAATTTTATTTTCAAAAACGATATCTCTAAACCATAATGTTTACATTTAATGAACCTTTTTTTTTTTTTAAATGACAATTGAATAAGAAATAGCAGCGATAGAAGCTTATATAATTCATAAAATCTTTTTTTTTTTTTTTAACAATGAATTTAAGCCAACTAAAAATTTATAATACCGACCTTAATAATTTCGAGTATGTGCCTAAAGATTATGAAGAAGATACCGAAAGTACAAGCTTGGCTGTTGAATCTGAAAGTATTATAACAGAAAGTGGTAGTGTTATAACAGATAAATTTGACTTCGATATAGAATTGAAACCATTTCTTTTCAACTATACAAGCTTTGATAAAGCACGTGAATTGGCAGAAGCAAAAGAAAGGAAAGATTTCAATATTCTAAGAGAAAACCATAATAATACTGATACAGACAGCGGCGACATAGTATCAACTTTGACATTCGATTTTGAACCCAGATTAGATGATAAAAATGAATACCTTGTTGAGAATATTATTGAGACCAATACTAAAACTAGACTTAGTCAGCAATTGTCGCCTTGTCCAATTCTAGACATTGTTGATGGCAATATTAAATGTTGTGGAGACTATTCTGAATCACAAAGACCACTTTTCCAACTTATTGGAGTATGGGAAATAGATTCTGAAATTTTTCAACAAACCCAGGCAACAGATAGATTATCGATGATAGGAGTTTGTCAATCACATTTTCTTTTTGACTAAAACCAGCTTCACAAAGCACATATTAAAAAGAAACAATCAATTGAAGAAAGTTGGATATTTTGCCAATGATGCTTGTTTTGCAACAAGTATAAATATTTTTTTAGTAGGGGTAGAACTTGCATACAGTATTCACGACGTATCTTTGGAAAGAATATACAAATACCCTGTGCAGGTCTTCTGGTTTATTCTATATTTGATAAAGCAAAATCAGAAAATGTTACAAATAATAGAGGAGCTGAATATCGACCCAGATATGTATGTTCAGAATGTTTTGTTAGACAAGGAGGTCATTTCTATAAACGATATGGCCGTGGATATTCAAAATTTGAGTGTAAACATTTATATAAAAATAATACAAATGATGAACTTCGAATTTTGGGTCATTGGATCTTGTGCATAGCTGAAACCTCTGATAAGGGTAAAAAAAAGGCCCTCTTAACATATTTGGTTCTATTTTACCAACATTTTTTGACACCAGGTCATTTTCAGTAACCGCAAATTCACCTAGCCTTCTTTTTATTAAAATGTCTTTAAGACTAGGTCATGTCAATATAACCAATATTATAGATCAAAAGCTTGACATTACTTCTGAAACCGCATCAGATTTAGGAAAAGCATTAGGAATAGCAACATGGAATGCATGAAATAAAGTACGAAATAAAAAAGTAAATCTTGAAAATCCAAGATCTTTAGTTGAATATCAAGGTGGATTTCCATTATGCATTTCCAATTTTTTTAATGGATTCATTGAAACATTACAAAAAAAAAATATGTCATACTTGCAAAAAAAAGACAACAAAGGAACTTACCACTGAAAACTTTTTGATAAGGATCGCGTAATAAGAATATCTGTGTTTCTTATTTCAATAATATTGAATATCACATTTCTGAGTATTAACATATGGTTGACTCATATGATGAGCACTTTATGTAGAAAACCAAAACTATACTACTCTCTCTACAATATACTTTGTGTTGCTAATGTAGTATCACACACACAACAGCATGAAAGGATCCTTGAGAAGGCCCGACGATATAAGGCAAAACCTGAAACAAGGTTATTACATAGCGAATATATATGGAATCTTTTAGTTATTGACAATATTGATTTTATAGAAAGAACTTTTATGTATGGAAATATCTATGATGCAGTGCGAAGAACTGCACATGCCACATTGAGAATGGTCTTCTAGTTTATAATGTCTATACAACTATGCTGTTGTAATCATATAAATATTAGTGGTCCTTGTGAAATTAATCAGTCTCTTTTTAGAACATCACCTTTTACTAATAACCTTCTTGAGGTTTATGAATCAGCATTTCAGAATTTTTTGTTTTCGGGTATTGAGGATTGGGACGTAAAAAGTATCCTAAGTGAAATTTCTAAAAATATTACAATTGAATGCTCCCAAAGTTATAATACTTAGTCCTGGAAACAATCCAAATTGTGATACAAATGTTTATAATGCATGTGATTTATTCTATAGTAATGTAGGAATATGTAATACTGGATGTTTAGATATAGCTTGTGACCAAGCAATTTTTCATAGTTTGATTTCATATAAAGAGAAAAATAAAGATGCAAGGTCCTAACTAGGTCAATGGCATACTTCAAAAGATATGTGCATTGCACTGATAAATATTTTTTTGGGATATGGTATCACCAATATGGCTGTAAAACTTGGGGTTCAGTTTTTAGATAAACTTGAAAGTGTCGTGGACTATCAGGCTACTAGTCGAGTTTTGGAATTGATTTGGGTTGCTATTGGCATTGCAATTTGTAAATATTTGTACAACAAAAATCAAAGAATAAGTGATATTGAAAATAGTCAGAATGATATACTCAGAGTTTGTTATCATTACTTTTGTTGGATTGGTTATTGGATTGGGTATAGGATTGGCATTCGTTAGGGAAACTATGAAATGCAAATAAAAAATCTTATGGCATTTGCTCCCCTCTTTCTAGTTGCAGGTAAAGTTAACTACTCTAGTTCAGTAACTCATTTTTTATCTTATATTGATGAAGATCCACACCTCCAAGAATTACTCCATTACGTCTGCTCTGTTAATTTAACTCAACTTGGGTACTTCTTTGCTTTTGATGAAGCATTGGAACATTTTGGAGTAATGTTTATAAAACAAAATATTGGGGTAAAACAGTAAACTCAGAGGAACTAAAGCTTCAAATCAGTTTTGCACAAGCAGAAAGGGAATGACTAGAGTTGTTGATTTCTGAATACATGGGAGATATGGTTACTGTTAAAGAAGAAAGAGCTGTGTTATCAAGAAAAGATGCTTTATGGAAATTAGCAAATGAATTATTTGCTGCTCTCTCTCTTCCAGATCCAAAAATGCATGAAATTTTTAAATATGCACCAGAATTAATGCCAACAGGATTTAATAACATTTATGCATGTTATGATCTTGGAGTAGCCTGTCTTCAAGAAATTTTGCGACAGGATGTATATAAGGTTGAACCAAGAAATACAACGGGCCATAGGAAACGCAACATAGTAGTACACAAGCTGCTTTCACTATTAGAACACCAAAAAAAAGATAAGCAAACAAATAAGCTAACAATAAATAGCAATTCAAAAACAGTCAGATTGAAAATAACAATGTAAGTGCCGGGCAATTGCATGAACAAGAAGGTACAAAGCGTCAACGTAGAGTTACAAACGATAATGAAAAAAACTCTTGATGATTTACTTAAATATGATAATTTCCCTGAAGATAAAGCCATCGAAATATTAAGACAACTTCAGAAACAAAGTAATAACTGGGACATGCAACGTGTTCGAATCTATTGGAATAATAATCGCTACAACAAGAAAAAAAAAGTTTCTTCTGATATGTAAACCAACAGTATAGATTTTATGATTTTTAAAACAATCCATATTTTTTTATGGTGAATTTATAGTATGCAAAATTGATAATAATTACTACTATTTGACGTCATAACTTCGATTGAAATGAACAATCAAAATATCAGTATACGTACAATAATGTCGATTTTGTGTAATACTGGATAATAAGGAAAAAAACTTAAAAGGTAACCTAATTGTGTTTTCACTTTATTAAGATACAAAATAAATTTACTTTTCTTTAATTAGATCACTGTTCAAGGGTTGAACCTGTTTAGGCTTTTGGATTTAAACTTAAGGGATAGTTATTTTATAGCAACTGTAGGTATTAAACTTAGTGCTATTGTTTTGTTATTACTATCATATTTTAATATTTAACTTTTTTAAAATGTTCAATGAAATTTAAATAGAATTTTTAGTTGTGTTAGTATTATTTGAACAATATAAAGGTAATTTTAATATATTTACCATTGACCACTGCTTACAGTACTCGGGGGTTTTATTCAAAAACCCCAATTGAATAGCACCTATAGTATTGTATGAACTGGGTACTATATTTGGGGATTATGAGGTGTTTGTTATTTTGCTACAAAATTTTTGAGAAATAAATGAATTAACGTAAGCATAAGTAAGTATTTTATTCAATCTTTGAATACTTGATATTTTGTTATAGTTAATTCTAACTAATGTGTTAAATTATATTAAAAATAACAAATCAATAGAGTCATGCCCGAGTCTTATTTAAAGAAACAGACCAGTAAGGACAGTTAATAATATCTGGGTCTTAGCCATGGTGGTAGTATTTTTAGAGAATACTATAAGCAGTAGTCAAACAGGAGGAACCGTCGATGTGCAATATATAAAAAATTTATTTTACAATACCAGATCATTCCACTAGTCATATTATGATTATAATTCCACACCATTTTATTATAATAATAAGAAAGTAGTGTGGTATTATAATCATAACATGTACTAGCCAAATGATCTGGTATTGTAAAATAATTTTTTTATACGTTGCACACCGAGTGAAGGATCAGTTATGTAACATCAACGGTTCCTTCTGTTCAGTGGTCAATGGCAATAACTTTGTATATTATCTCTTAGTAATTTTAATTTTAATATATATAATTAATTTTAATACTATCTCAAAAGCAACTTTTAAATTCGATCCACGCTTGGAATAAAAGAAACTATGATCATGTTTGAGCTCGGAATGCAAACGATCGTATAACATTTTGGATTTAGGCTGTGGTCACGTATTGGGTTAATTTTTTTTTTGGTTCAATTAAGTTTTAAATGTAGAACTCAATGTAAATATCAACAATGCATGTAGTTTATACAATTAGTATTAATATTTTTAAATTATTTTTCTTGTTATGAATTGATGTATGCATTAAGTTGATTTTAATTTTAGGAATTTTATTATAGCGATGGTTGATTTTGCTGCATAACTACAGTACTGGACATAGTGTTTGTAGTTTATTTTAAAAATAAAAATATTATAATACTCTTATCTTTATATATTTACAAAACATACAAGAGTTAATCTTGCAAACCAAACCTTTTCAATTTCAAATAAGTTCTTAATTTATAGGTAAATAGAAAATTTTCCAATCTTTAAGCCATTATTTCAAAGATGTCCAGATATAATTAGATAAAAGATACTTTAGATAACAGTAAAGAAGTTTCTGTAAATATTTTGATTAATGTTATTGAAGATTATACTTTAATCCTGTGACCTATGTGACGATCGTTAACGATCGAATCAAAGACAAAAGCCCCTATATTTGAAATAAAGAAGATTACTTTTAGCTTCTTACTGAAGCTTAGAAACCACTGTTAGAAGAATAGTTCAAAGCTATACTTATCTTAACTTCCAGTAACGCTGTAGCAAGACTCAAAAGACCTTAGGACTCAGACCAAGTCTCTCTACGCCTCTTTCTGCTTGCCAAATCAAGGTTTTAAGAGTCTTTGGATTGTAGATTAGTTTCTTAATATTGAAGTTTAAATATTAGCCAATTAGTTATCACCTTTTCAACTTATTAGCATTAGTTTTAGCATTAGCATTGGCGTTAGCAAACTAATCAAAAGGATAATAAATTATAATAATATTTTTTTTGACTCTTACTGTTATTGTTATATTTTTTTTATAAAAAATATTCAATACATATAAATATTATTTTCTACTATATATATTGATATTATATACTTTGTGTTAATAACGATAAATCTGGATGAATACTTAACGATAAGATGCTTTAATGTTAAAAGCTTGAAAATTGGTAGCTGTTTTCCTATCGCTATTTATTAAATAAAATCAGCTTTAAAGAATTAAAACTTCTTAACATTAGTATAATCATATCAATATTATCATTATATAGTAAACTTTGTTTACCATTACAAAGTATAGTGATAGCGATAGTGAAAATTTTAAGTTAAATTTTATTCATTACATGCACTGTACTATATTCCCGATACCAATACTGATATGTATAGTATAGAAAATTTAATCTTTAGAGATAAAGATAACGATAATGATAACGATATCGATACTGAAAATTTTCTTAAATTATTAATTTTGATAACGATAACGATAGTCTAGAATCTTCAATCTTTTTGTATAGTAATAGAAACTAAGAAAATGCATAGCATTATGAGTCCGGAGCGTATCATATGATGGTCATCTCATTGCACAAACGCGTGAATGTGCATGTTTTTGCTACACTAAAATTACAAATTTAAACATGCGTGCGGACAGACATGAATTTTCAAAATTATGTTTTTGATATAATAGCGATAGTGATAGCTTAACGATGAAAGGTGAATCAAAAATGTAGCTATTGATATATCAAAACGTAACTTTTGTATTACTATGTGTAAGCCATAAAAGATGCTCCAGACAATAATACATAAAGAACAATGTTTGCTTAATACAGTTAGACCTCTCTAACGCTAAGCACACCCTCTATAATGATAATAATAAGTGCGTACCCTTTCTAAATGCATGCTCAAGTGCCAGCCCAAATACATCTAAGTGCATACTTTTGTGACTATACTTTAATAACATGCATATAAAAATAATAAGAAAAAGTGCATTTATAGAGGTCAAGTATATATTTGGGCCGGAACTTGAGTGTGTATTTAAAGAGTGTGTGCACTTGTAGAAAGTGTACTTAGCTGTATATACTTGACCTCTATAAATACACTTTTTCTTATTATTCTCTATATGCATGTTATTAAAGTGTAGTTTCAAGAGCATACTAATTTTTAATATGTTAGTTGACTTTTATTTTATCACTATCACTATTGTTAATGTTTTTTCGATTTTCTGCATTATACAGCCAAACTCTAATACTAAGTGCATCCTCTATAACGATAAGTGTATATCCTCTTTAAATGCATGCTTAAGTGCCAGCCCAAATTTATACTTGACCTCTATAAATGCACTTTTTCTTATTATTCTCTATATGCATGTTATTTAAGTGTAGTTCTAAAGGCATGCATTTAGCATTAGCATTAGAGAGGTCTAACTGTATATATGCACACATATATATATGCATATATTTTATACAAAAATTTTTGCTAAGTTTGTATTTATTGATGTAGCTTCCCCATACATATCGATATTGATATTTCAAATTTGAGCAAAAATCTCTCATGCTAATTTAAATTTGTAATTTGCGATGTCTT